CACACGCACACGCACACGCACACACTGTCTCTGCCTTACCCACGAAGCCCTCACCTGAACTTTGTAGTTGAAGAACTGGGCTGAACGCTTGAAGCGGCGGAAGCCCTCGGTCTCTTTCGTGGCCACAGTGAGGACCAGAAGGTTGTCTGCGGACAGAGAAGGACATGGGGAGCTGAATGGGGACGGAGGAGAGTCTCGAGTAGTGGCCTTCTTCGTCACAACTCTACAGACAAGGGCTCAGGCTGTGCCAAGGGCCATCCAGTAGGTTAAGGGCAGAGCTGGGACATAACCCTTGTTTCCCTATTCCCTGGGCTCCTTGTATGTGGAAACTGACAAACAGGACAGGCAGCACCCAGGGCAGGGCGTCTGCACCTGCCTTATGAAACCAAGTCTCTGGCTTTAGAGGGTGCAAGCATCATGGGGGTGGAGGGGAAGATGCCCTGAGTGCTGACCATGGGAGGGTCTCTCTGGCCAGCGCTGGGCATTAGAGCAGGAATAGCAAATGCAGAGTTCACGAGGCCACTTGCTCTCTATGCATACACTGAGGGTGGACATACTCATCCACTCTGGTCTCCCCCAAGCCTACGAGGCCGACTTTCCCAATGCCACGCTTCCAGTTCCATCCCAGCTGCCTGGGATGGAAAACCGACTTGAAATCCCCTCACCAGTCCATGTCTGTGGGTCTGAGCAGCTGGTACTCTTTCCTCCCTCTCCCTCCTTCTCATTTTGAAAAGGGGTCTCATGTAACCCAGCCCCATATCCGGCTAAATGGTAACAAAGCTGCCCGTGAACTTCTCATTGATCTTCCCGCCTCCACTCCCAGATGCTGAGGTTGCAGGCATGGGCTACCACACTCAACCACACTCAACAAGCCTGGCTTTGTCAATACCCTCTTAACAAGGGACCTCTCCCCGCTCTGCAGTGTGACTTCACCCCTGCAACAGAATGTGCTAGAAGCAGCTCCCAAGACATGGTCTGTGGGAGCCCCCAGAAGGCCCTCTCGACCCCACTGTGAGGCTGTGATGCCTGAGGAGTTGGGGGTTGGGAGCTGGCCTGCCTGGCTAGATCCTTGCAAACTGCATGAATCCCAGGGCCAGTCATAACAGCACCTCCCCCTTCCCTACTATCAAGTCCTGTGAATCCCACTCCGACTTCTGCCCTTGGAGGGTGGGGGACAGGCCCACTACCCTGTAGTGGTATTTGCTCCGCCCATGACCCTGGGCTGTACGGCCCAAAGGAGGTGGTGCTTGCTGCGGTTGTACGTGACCTCAGATAAGAAGCTGGAGAAGGGACACAGGCCCCTTCTCCCGGCTCCTGGCTGGGAGGTGAAGTCACTTCTGGTCAGATCAGAGGACGACTTCTGCTGTCTACTCCGTTCTATAATCATGAGTGTATTTCCTCAATTTATATGTTAATAAATTCTGTTACCCATTTAATAGACTCACGTGGATTGATCTTAATACTGCTCAGTGGCCCCTTTGCACCCAGGACCCCCATTTACCTAGGTGAACAACACACACACACACACACACACACACTGCACACACATACACACACACACACTGCACACACATACACACACACACACTGCACACACATACACACACACTGCACACACATACACACACGCGCGCGCGCACACACTGCACACACATACACACACACACACACACACACTGCACACACATACACACACACACACTGCACACACATACACACACACTGCACACACATACACACACACACACTGCACACACATACACACACACACACACACACACACGCACACACACATACACACACACATACACACACACATGCACACACACATACACACGCACACACACTACACACACACACACTGCACACACGCACACAGAAAAAAACAAAACAAAACAAACCCCAAAACCCAGCCAGGCCAGCGGCAGGCAGGTAAGGCCTTCCCCTTCACCTACCACTGGATGTAAGGAGTTAGAGCTGAGAGAACAAAAGAGCCCAGCTCTCCCAAGCTGGCCGAGGCTGCTTAGGCAGGAGGCTGTCCCTGTAACAAGAGATCAATGCCAGGGGGCCAAGCAGGGATTGGCAGGACCCAGCAGGGTGGGCCTGGGGAGGATCGGATGATGCCATAAACAGCTGTGGAGGAGTAACCTCCCCACTTGACCCACTTGGGGGCCCAGAGAAGAAAGCTGATGTTCACATGAGGGGAAGGGCTGCCTCCAACTCTGGCCTGAAAGGTTAAGTCTCCCTGCAGGTGAGAAGAACCAGTCACTAGCTCTTTGAGGCCCTCTTGCCAAAACGGGGGCAAAAGTGTGTCATAGGCTAGCATGTGTATACGTGTGTGTGTGTGTGTGTGTGTGTGTGTGTGTGTGTGTGTGTGTGAGAGAGAGAGAGAGAGAGAGAGAGAGACTGATTGATTTTCTGGGTTCTCCAAGGGAGGAGGCCAGAGACAGGGGAGCAGAAGAGGGACGAGGCAACAAGTCTTCCATTCTCAGGGCCCTGCTTTCAAACACCCCGAAGCCAGCAAGATGGCTCAGCAGGTAAAGGTACTTGGCGCCCGTCTGAAGACCTGAGTTCCATCCCTAGAAGCCACATGGTGGAAGGAGAGAACAGACTTGGACTCCTGCCAGCTGTCCTCTGACCTCCACAGATGGGAGTAAATGCAGAAGAGAATGGAGGAAAGAGAGAGAGAAAGAAGAAAACCCCATTTCTTCGTCTGCCTCAGGAAACTGGCTGATGGGGCTGAAGCAGAGGCCCCTGGCTTCTCAGACCTTCCTCATGCCTCCCAGGAACCCAGTCTCCTGCCTCCTCTCCATTCCACTGACCTGTCCTCAACATTCACTTCTTTCCCTGCCTACCTTCTCCAGGAAGCCCTCCTTCATTTCACTCCTGATCTGCCCACTTGATTGGACCAGTAGTTGATGTACCCATACAAACCTGACCCTCTTCCCTAGGGCTACAGCTCTTCCCTAGGCCTCCCTCTCTCACACTAAGGGATAGTACACTCTGCTGTTTGGGGAGCAACAGGAGACGCTGATTTTAGTAAGAGTGGCCTTCAACTGAGTCCTAAGATGCCACATGCTGCAAGAAGCAAGCTATGTTCATCGCTGAATTCATCACTCCATGAGGGGCTAGGCATGGTAGCACACACCTGTAATTCCAGCATGAAGGAGATGGAGGCAGGGGGATCCCGAGTTCAGGGTCACTCGTCACTATATCCTAGTTCAAGACCAGCAGGGCCTAAATGAGATTCTATCTCAAAAACAAAGAAACAAACGCACCCTCTAAGGGCAGTACTACTTTTACCTTCTTTCTACAGAAGAGGAAACTGAGGCACAGAGAAGATAAGGATATGCCTAAGGTCACAGACCTGGAAGTGAAACAAGTGAACTGGCTAGCATTTTTGTTTTGTTTTGTTTGAGACACGGTCTCACTATGTAGCCCTGGATGGTCTGAAACTTACTGTATAGACTAGGCTGGCCTTGAACTCATAGAGATCCGCCTACCTCTGGCTCCGAAGTGCCAGGATTAAAAGCATTTTTCCATCATGCCTGGATGTTTTTTGTTTTGAACACAGGGTCTTACTAAGTGGCCTTGCCTGGCCTCAAACTCACACTCTTCCAGCTTCAGCCTCCCAAGGGCTGTGACTGATTACAGCACTGTACCACCATGCACACATCACAGCCACATTCCTTTTATTGTTGTTTTGAGACAGGGTCTCTCTACATAGCCTTGGCTACCTAGGAATTCACTATGTAGACCAGGCTGGCATGAACTCACAGAGATCCACCAGCCTCTGCTTCCGGAGTACTGGGACTGAAGGTGTGCACCACCATGCCCAGCCACATCCTCCTGGCTCTGCCTCCCAAGTGCTGGGATTAAAGGCGCGTGCCACCATCACCTGGTCCCACATCCACACTTTTAACCTGCCACAGTACCCAGCAGGGTAGAGCATCAGACTAAACACAGAATCCAGAATTCCTGGGGCTTCTCAGGCTCCTCCAGTACAGGTATCCTCTCCAGTTTGCTCTCAGGTGTACAAGAGTTCTGGGCCACCCACACAGTGTCAACAGGAGGCTTAGGTTACACCAGGATACCACCCCCACTTCCCTGATGCCTGTTTTGTATGCTCAACAGCCTCCAGGGCTACATGGGCCTGGCACCCTGTAAGCTTAGCCTTCCCCAACCTGCTGCCCAAAGTCCAGCAATCATTTCCCCAGATGGACAAACTGTGACCCAGGTCTTCAGAGAAGAAAGAGAGATGGCAGAGCAGGGTGGTAAGGACAGATGGCTCAGCCAGTAATTTAGCCTCCCTGTGCCTCAGTTTCTTCATCTGCACCACAGAAATCATGGATAAAGGAGCCCCCTCTTTCAGAGACTCTAGTGAGGACTCAACAAGTATCTGAAATCTGAAGAGCTGAGCTCAGTGTCCGTCAGGTGATGCCTCAATTCTTGACACAGAGGGGTACCCTGCCAAGAGAGGGAGCTGTGTACCCTCAGGCACAGCCCTTCCCCTGGCACTGCTGAGTCAGGACACCTGAAGCCCCGTCATCAGCAGGGTCTGACTCTGACTTCCTAGAGAGCAGCTGAGGCTCTAACTGGGATGGTCTGGAGGAGAAGGGCATGCATCAGCAGCAGGAGAAGGTAAGATGGAGCAGACGGAGGGGAGTGGCCAACTACAGGACTCCAGGCTCCTGCCAGGGAGTGGACCCAGGCCTTTGCACACATTACCAGTTGAGCCCTGTGGTCAGACTTCCCTATCAGATATTCTCTCATCTATCTTCCTGCCCTCCTGGATTAGACCCTCCAGGAAAACTAGTTAATCTAAGCACAGAGAGAAAATGCCCAGTGCCTTGGCTTTAAGGGGACTCGGGGACTGGCCTCATCTGAGGCATCTCTCATGATCTCTAGGAATGAGGTATTGCCACCCGGCATGGAGGTCATGAACACCAATATTCTCAAAGACTGTGCATCATCAAAGTTACTAAGGGAAGGCGTGTGACCCTGTGTATGTATAATTTAGCACAGAATCATCAGGCATGCAAAAGTCCATGGTTCCCCGCATATGAGTTTCAAAGTCAGGTTCCTTTTCTTTCTTTCTTTCCTTCTTTCTTTTTTTTCTTTTCTTTTCTTTTTTTTTTTTTGGTCAGGGTCTCAAGTAACCTAGACTGACTTCAACTCTTTATGTTGCTGAGGATGACCTTGAAGTTCTGACCATTCTGCCTCAACCTCCCTGAGTACTGGGGTTATAGGCATGCATAACCATGCTCAGTCTCTGCAGTGCTGGGGATCAAATCCTGGGCTACATGCATGTCAGGTATGTGGGCAGCTTCTCCAACCCATCCTGATTCCTTTATCCTATGATCCACCATGTCCAGGCCAGCTCCCAGGTCCTCCAGCAGGATGGGCGGAGGGGAACAGGATGCTCTGGAGAATGTGGTCAGTTTGGCTTTGCCTGTCTGGGTGGTCCACAGTCTGACCTAGGTGGGGGTTGTCTCGGGGACTCAGAGAGCAACTGCTGGGGTGGTACGGTCCAGAAGGGTTGGGAGGACAGGAGCACTCACTCAGGATAGTGGGACACAGTTAGAAACCCAGTAGCCCTTGGAGAAGCAGAATGAGCACTTGGCCAGGAGTCCGGCCGACCTGAGACCAACCATTCTGAGCTGCATGCCTCGCTTACCTCCTTCACTCCAAAGCCCCTCCCTCACCCTAAAGATAACAAGAGCTCGGAGCTGGGCTCAGGAACCAGACACACCCAGAGAGGGGGATGAAGCCATTTCCAAAGCTCACAAGCTGTGGGGGAAACCAATCAACTCTGGAGCCTCAGTTTGTGAAGCTGGAAAATGGGGATGATATAAGCAAACACTCCCGAAGTAGCAAACGTGCTTAACTGGTGAGGCCGGGCTGCAGCAGCTCCTGTACGATCAACAGGAGCCTTGCTACTTATTATGGGAATTATCATGGGCTCCTCTGAGCGCTGAATGGTGGTGGAGGTGTGTGGGGGTGCTTCTGCTGTCTCCTCTCCTGCCCGCTGCACAAACGTGAGAATCGTGGCCCCATGAGAGGAAATGATCTGTCGGAGTCACTCGCGGGCAAGTGGACAGATGACCGCAACCCAACTCCCCCGCCCTCCCAGCCCAGGTCGCCTGGACACCCCGGTCCTCGGCAAGGCAGCCGGTCACCGCTCCCCCACCGCGCCCTCACCCTCCAGTTTGGCGTCGTCCTTCGCCTGGGCCAGAAGGAGCCAGGCCACCGGGGACAGGAGCAGCAGGGGCCGCATAGCCAGGTCTGGGTACGATCCGCGGGCACTGAGACTCGAGCTGAACTGGAAACTTCGCGACGGGGCCGGCGGGCGCTGCCACGCACTGGGCCCGCCCCGGGGGCGGTGCCGCGCACTCCTCCGCCCGCCCCGGGGAAGGGTTTTCTTGCTTAGGCGCGCAGGTCCTCCAGACGTGGGGCAGGTCTTTATGGTCCCTGGGTCCTGTGGCCAGCCGGCCCATGCTCTTCCCCTCTCTCTCTCCAAGGGTTGCGACGCTATCCAGAGGAAAAAGTAGGCTAGGAGGGCGAGGCCTTGCTGTCTAGAAGAGTGGGGCTTAACATTCAATGGGATCTGCACAGAGATGGTGGGATCTGTAGGGCACCTCAGAGATTTCATTTTCTTTATGTCTTCCCCAAATTCCAGAGGTGAGGGTTTGAGCCTACAGTGGGCGCGGGTGTTGACACCTCTGAGGATGCTGGAACTATAGAAAGTCTAGCCCAGGCTCCCAAAAGGAAATCCCTTAATTCGTCTTTTCTGCCCGGGGCGGGGGGGGGGGGTGATGTCTGAAAAGAGTCAAAGAAAATCTTGCTGCAGAGGTTAATTGTGGTATGGATGTGTGGATGGGTGGATGGATGGATGGGTGGGTGGATGGGTGGGTGGATGGAGTGAAAATTTTCAAGGCATTTTCACAGACACCCAATGTAAAAACGGACCAAAGGTTTCCGGAGCAAAGGCTCCTGGTCCAGATGTCAGCTGTGCACATCCACATCTGGACAAAATCCTGCCCAGCTGTGGAAGAGAGCTCAAAGAGGGACCCTGGAGCCTCCTTCCCATAGATTAGACTCTAGGGCAGGGTTGTGGGGAAGGAGCTTGAAGGAGTCATGGAGTTCAAGAAAAGTGGTCTTTCATGGGCACTCCTGTGTCGGCCAGGAAACATGTACCTACAGAATGCTAAGTGGGAAAGGCTGTCTCTTCAGTAAGACTCACTCATTAAAAACAGATTCTCAGCCTTGTGGCCAGGTAATGCCCACAATGCTGGGTGGGGTAGGGTGAGATGTGCCTAAATCCTAGCACCCAGGAGGTGGAGGTAGGAGATCCTTTGTCCAACGCTAGCCTCAGCTGCACAGCCAGATGCTATCAGGGAAAAAGAGTGAAGGAAAGGGAAGCGCCAGGCATCTCAGCCAAGCTGGAATCCCAGCACTCAGGAGGTGGAAGCAGGATCAGGAGTTCAAGACATGCTCAGCCACACAGCTAGTTGAGGCCAGCATGGTCTGCATGAGACCCTATCTCAAAACAGCCCCCCACCACCACCAAAAATAAATAAAATTACAGACAAATGATTGCAAAGATCATTTCCAGGTTGTGGTATAAAAATGTACATAATTTACACAGCATTTCTGTGTCATATTATTTCTGGATAGTTCTTTTCTTGTTTCTTTTTTTCTCTTCCTTCTTTCTTTCTTGAGAAAGATATACAATATTTGTACAATTGAGGACCATGTACCCTTTGGGGAAAATGGGAACAGCCTGGAAAAACTGCAGAAGTTTATTGTACAGAGGTTTATTTACTCACACAGTAGAATTGAGGCCCAGGACTACCCAGCAGCAAGCTCAAGGTCACAAGACAAGGCAGAGGAAGAGGCCTGGAACAGAACCTAGAACATTTGCTTCCTAGCTGGGACCCAGGGTTGGAAGCTGCTGCAGCTGGGGTCAGGACTTGGTGCCAAGCATCCCCCCATCCCCACTCCCCACCCCCGGCTGTTTTGGGCTCAGAAGGCTGCAGACTGAGATTCCAGACCCTTAAGATCCTTAGAAGAGGAAATGCAAGGATGAAGGGAGGGAGAGTCAGCCAGCCTGGCTCTTTTTTTTGGGGTGGGGGGTAGTTTTTCAAGACAGGGTTTCTCTGTGTAGCCCTGGCTGTCCTGGAACTCACTCTGTAGACCAGGCTGGCCTCAAACTCACAGAGCTCTGCCTGCCTCTGTCTCCTGAGTGCTGGGATTAAGGCGTGCACCACCACCACCCAGCTCAGCTGGCTCATTTTTAATGTTCTCATTCCATGCTCATAATTGACTTTCTAGTCAGGCAGTTTGCTTCCGTTTGCAAAATGAGAAATTGACGTTCAGAGAAGAAGCATCAGCTTGGCATTACACAACTGATGTGGGACCACAGTAAGGAAGCATCAGACAGTTCCGAGTCTAGGGAGACTCTCAACAGTGATATGCCCTGGGCAAAAAACATTCCCAGGCACTCTCCAGACTCTAAATTAAGAGGGATCGGTTTTAGAGACTGCCTGCCTCTTCAGGAGGAAAAATTCACGCTGGCAAAGCTTTGCTTTACTCTTTTGGTGTCTGTTTCCTGTTTGTTTCACCAAAGTGCTAGAATTTGAACCTGGTCCAAGCACCATCCAGGATGGCCTGTCTCTTTAAGCAGAGGTAGTGGCTGCTGTCCAGATGTTGCTTCTGGTATTTCTAGTACGTGCTATGCGTGCTATGGACTGTTAAAGGCACAGGACTCCACTTTATTAGGAAGGTGTTGGACAACTGCAGGATGGGGAAGGGTGTGTGTGTGTGTGTGTGTGTGTGTGTGTGTGTGTGTGTGTGTCCCATTTCCTTTGTCGGCCTGTGAAGGAGCCACAGCCTCAGTGGGATGACCACACTTTGGGTTGTCCGATGGGCTGTCATTTCCCACGGGCATTAGCCCTAATAGAATACTAGAATTCTCTCAGCCTTTTCTTTAAATAAAAAAAATAACAAGCAAATATACATCTTACGCTACAGTTTCTGGCTAGGAAAATAAAATGCATATTTTAATATCTGCAAAGCAAATAGACTGGAAAAATGTCCTAGAAACAAGTACATTGGTTGCACCAGGGCTGGGGCCTCGGGAGGGAAGATGCCTTTGGCACTAAGCTAATAGTGAACACTTCCTATGAGCCAGGCAGTGTGTTAAACCTCAAGCACTTGTCCAATTTAAGTCTCAGAGCAAGCCTACTTTATTGTATGATACCCATTTTATAGGTAGAGAAACTGAGGCCCATGGGGTTAGTTGCTGTGGCTATGTGGCTGACTCCTGCCTTTGAGCACTCCCAGGTCTTGGGGTATTTGAGGATGACAAGGCGTTAGGAGCATACGTGATAAATAAGGCTTTGATCTAGAAATCTGTCTTGATGAACTGCTTCCCAAGAAACACGGACAGAAGTAGGTCAAGATATACTTCCATTACACCAGTGTTTGTAGCAAAAATACTCATAGGGGCTGGGGTGGTGGCTCAGTGGAGGACCTGAGTTTGGTCTCCAGTACTCATTTAAAAAATCTAGGCTCAGTGGTGTGCACTGAAATCCCAGCACCGGGGGTTAGGGACAGGAGGGTCTCTGGGGCTTGCCGGCCAGTCGTTCTAGCAGAATCAACAAGCTCTGGGTTCAGTTTCAAAAATAGGATGGAGGGTGATGGCTCAGTAGGTAAGGGGGCCTGCCTCAAAAGCCTGGCAACCTAAAGCGACCCCTGGAATTCATCTAAAGGACAAGGAAAGAAGTGGCCTCCCAGAATTGTCCTCAGACCTGTGTAGTACAAATATCCAAACACACGTAAATCATGCTCACATGCACACACAATAATCACACATTTTTGAAAATTAAAAAGAGGGGTTAGTGGGATGGCTTGGGGGTTAAGAGGCCTGCACCCCACATCAAGCAGCTCACAAGTGCCTGTAGCTCCAACTCCAAGGATCCCACACCATCTTCTGACTTGGACATACCACCCTGTGCATTTGGAGGTCAAAAGACAACTTGCAGGAGTTAGTTCTCTCCTTCCATCATGTAGGTCCTGGACACAGAACTCAGGTTATCACGCTTGGTGGCCATCCTGCACGATTTTAATCCTAGCGACTAGGGATGGTAAGAAAAGAGGAGGATCCCTTGGGCCCAAGAGTTGTTTGAAGTCCAGCCTGGACAACACAAGAGAGATCCTGTCTCAAAGATAAATAAACAAAAATAGTAAAATACAATCAAAACAGGATGAGCACTCTTCCAATGGGACACTGGCTCACAACTTCAGCAAACAGTTTTCCGTCTGCTTACGGTCCCCTACAAGCCACCTCAAATAACCGCTTAATTGTCGGCTACAAATTTGCAGCTGTCTGGCTGGCTCTGGATTGCCCAGTATCCAAAGTGGAAACAATCGCCCATTGTTTGCCCCAATCCAAAGTGGAAACAATCGCCCATTGTCTGCTGGAGTGCCCCAGCTGAATTTTTTTTTCCCTAGATGGATGCTGCAGGCCTTGTCAAAGTATAAAATCTTAATGTCTCATGTTATTTAATGAGTTAAAGCTCAGTATTCACATCAAGAAAACGACTTGATGCGCTCAGGAAGCAGGCAGTCCTGGGCTGGATTTATGAGGTCCCTCTCTGGTGTACACGCAGTCAGGCAGATTTGGGCACGTCAACAAAGTATTTCCTAGGAAATCATTTTTCACTAAGTACTCTTTTCTTCCTCCCCTGCCTTCCCTCCTTCCTCCATTTCCTTTCTTCTTCCTTCTCTTCTTCCTTCCCTTCCTTCCTTCCTTCCTTCCTTCCTTTCTTCCTTCCTCCTTCCTTCCATTTACCCGTACTCACAGAAAAGCTAGGCTCAGTGGTGTGTACTGAAATTCCAGCACTGGAGGGTAGAGACATGAGGATCTCACTGGGGCTTGCTGTCTTTTCTTTACTCAGGAATAGTTTCACAGAAACAGTACGTTTTTATTTTTTAACTTTAGGGCTGTTGAAACCATCAGCAGCAAACGAGGCGCAACACATGTTGGATTTGGCTTGCTCTGTGATTTTCTTTTCTTTCTTTCTTTTTTTTAAACGGGAGACTTGGACTCCTGCCCACCCCTCAGCTCTCCTAATGCCTTGCCTCTCCCCCGCCCCGCCCCGCCCCGGGTCCCGGCCACGCCCCCAGAGACTCCACCTCTCCTCCAAGCCCCGCCCCCGGCCGCTTTTCCGTCTGTCGCAAAGGACTCGGCGACGCTTTACGGCTGGCAGCGTTTGACGGCTGGGAGGCAACCGAGAAGAAGGAGGAAGCGGTGGCGGTAGCTGCCGGGACGGCTGCGGCTGGCGTCGAAGTGGTCGCGGTGACGCGGGCCAG